GGCGGGGAGCGCGGGCACGTCACCGAGACAGACAGGCGGGTGGGCGGGAGGCGGCGGCCGCGGGTTCGAGCCGGCGCCGGAGCACCGCGGCCCCCTCCCCCTGCCCGTGGCCTGGGGAGCCCCCGCCCAGCCCCGGAGCCGCCAAAATGCAATTTCCCGTGCAGGCGCCTCGGCTCGGGGGGCTTTTCCGGGAGGGTTTTGGACAGGAGAGGGGAAACGCGGCGGCGGCCCCAAACAAGGTGAGCGCGGGCGCCGGGCGGGCTGGGGGCGCGAGCGGCGCGGGGGCCGCCCACGGGGAGGGGGCGCGGCCGGGCGGGGCGGCGGCGGGACCCGGCCGCAGCCCCCTCGCGCACCTGCTCGCGGACGGGGGGCTGGCGACCCGGCCTCTGCAGCCCGGCCCTCCATTGTTGCGGCGGCTGGGGAAGGGGGGCGGGGAGGCCCCGGCGGCATCTCTGTGTCTCGCCTTCCCGGAGAAGGGGCCCCGGGAGGACCAGACCCCTCCACAGGGGACAGACACACAAGTCCCGAGTGAGCGGGGGCCGCCGCGGGGAGGGCAGGCCGAGATGCCCCTGCGGGGCGGGGAGGCATGACGAGGGTCGTAGGGGCAGTGGTGCCCAGGCCGCCTGACACCTGACCGCGGGAGCCCTGGGACAGGGCGGCGGCGAGCTTTGTTCTTGGGGGCGCCGAGCGGGTGGGCGCCTCGGATATCCGGGACCGGGAGAGGCTCCGGGCTGGCGCGCGCATTCGGGAAGGCGCTCCCGGCCAAGTTCACGGCCGCGCAGGCCTGTGCGGGCCCTGCAGAGACCGATCCCGGCGGGGGCCTCGCTCGGGCCTCGCTGCGGCCGCGGGCCCGGGGCTGCAGCGGCGCCGCCTGCCGGAGCCCCGGAGCCCTCAGTGGGCTCCCCGCCGGCTTGTCATTACCGGCGGAGGCTGCAAGGTATTTACTGGGGCGAAGGTTTGCTAACAGGATCACGCCCTCCAAAAGTGGCCATAAAAAGGAAAAATGGCCCAGAATCCCACTGCTGGGGAGCCCTTTTAAAGCCTTTCATGGGGCCCTCGCCCTGGAGGGCATGAGGTGGGGGGGAAGGGAGGAGGGGACGGAGAAGACCCCTCATTGGCTGATGGGACCTGAGAAGTGCCCCCCCACCCCACTACATTTAAGTTCCCCCCATTTCCTTTCCCACCGGTTCTCCACCTCCCTGGACGGCTCACAGATACATTTACAGAGTCACAATTAGATATTCCCAAATCGCTGGTGAAGACCCCCAAATCCACACCCTATACTCCGACGTACCTCATCCCCATTATTACTCACATCACCTGCAAGAACTCTGATGCACACATGCACACACACAGTCACCCATCATAACACTGCCACGTGGGCACACACATCACCCACAACGACGCGGACATCCAGGACTGACACCCGTGAAAACAGTGCCACACAGAGAAATGAAGCTGCCACCGACCGTGGTAGACACATCCTCGCATATAACGCTGACACACACATAGTTTTCCACTGCACCCACAGATACTCCTAGGCTTACCGTCCCATGGGCACCCATGGGCTGTCATCCAGAGTAATTGTGACAACCACAGATAGGTAAATGCCCCAACAGAGGTACATATAGACACCATTATTCACAAGAACTTGGACATGCACTCGTAGATGTCCATGTGCCCGCCCGGGCAAGGACACACCCACAGTCACCCAGGCAACCTGAGACACATACACACAGATGGTACAAGGCCTGCACAGATGCTTGACATCCTGACATTGGGTTATAGTATTCTTGACCTACATACATACAGTTAAACTGACCCTCCTAGACACCCATTACAACTCTGTCATCCACAAACAGATATAACACTCCAACAGTACCTACACCCATAGTCACCCACCCTGACACTTGATTATACCCTTGGACACCTACAATATCACTGACCCACAGACAGACACAATAAAACATGTGCAGTGAAAATGACATACAGGAAAAGGACATAGGAACATGCAGAAATCCACAGTCACCTGGAAGCCCACAAATCCAGCACTTGCTTACTGAGCCTCTGTTATGTACCAGGCACTGTTCTAGCACTGGGGGTAGAAGAGATGAAGATCCCTACCCTCCCGGAGCTGATGTTTTAGTGAGGAGGGTCAGGGGGCACCATAATCGGATGACACAAACCACAGTCACCCCCAGTGACACTGACAGACGCCAGACACCCACGTACACTGGCTCACACATCGACTTGCAATTACCCACCGTTAGCCTGACACACAACCAGAGTCACACTGACATCCATCCATACACAAACAGCAGCCCACAGGAGTGCCGACATGCACACGCACAGCTGGCATAGAGACAGCTGCTCACTGTGGCACACACCCGCCTGGACTTACAGACACCCACAGACCCCCTAAAATAGCCCACCAGAGTAGCTCAGACCCCCAAGCCCATCACAGCCCCCCAGTAACAGGCCCATAGGCAGCTGCGGCCTGCATTTTTGCAGATGGAGCCCACAAGCCTCAGTAGAAGTGTCTGAATTTCTCATCAACCTGCCCCAGGTCCCTCCACAGCCCCCAACTCCAACCCAGGGGAGCATTCTCGCCTCGCCCAGCCCTGGCTCTACGTCTGGTGGTCTTCAGAAGGAAACTCAGGCTCCTGGCCGACTGGCCGCCCCCAGGTCTGGGCAGGACAGACAAGCCCCTTGTCTGAGGACACGGAGTCAAAAGCCTGAGCAGCTGGCAGCGGAGAGGAAGCTGGGCAGACGGCCCGGGGAGGGCGGGGTGGGAACCTGAGAGGCCATGCAGGTATCATGGAAATGAGGGGCCCCTGCCCGCCAGTCTAGACAGCCTGGGCCATTAACAGGACCCCACAGTAGGACCCCTACATACACTGCTACTGCATGTTCCATAATGGGCTCTTTGTCTGCCAGGCCCTGAGCACCTCCTCCCCATGTGCCCCCCCAGTTCCTATGCACACACACAAGGGCGCAGACACAAGGACAGATGCACACTGGGACACACGCAGGGACACACGCGCCACTAGACACCCCCTGGAAGCCCTGCATCTCTGACCTCATGCTGCCCCCCACCCCCCCGGCCCCGCCACCTTGTTCTTCAACTTGACAGCAGAGCTGCCTCCATCCATTGCCTGCCCATCTGGCTCCACTGAGACCTCTCACCTCCGACCCTGACCCCCCAGACCCTGTGCCAGCTGCCCTGCCTTCCTGGAGCTCAGGATGGGGGTCGGGGTGGGGGTAGGCTCAGGGTCAGCATGGCTTCTGCCAGGCTGCCCGCCACCCCAGTCATTCTCAGCCCCCTGCCCAGACAGACCCTCCCAGCTGGGGTGTAGGGTCCTAGGAATAAGGATGAGGAAGAAGCAGGCCTTGAAGGGCACCCCTGCTTTGCTCCAGGGCCCGGGGTTGGGGGTGGGAGGAGACAGCTCCCTGCCTCCTACCCTGCTGGGCTTCAAAGTCAGACTGGAGGCCCAGTCAGCCCCCAAGAAGGCCTCAGGACACTTGGTGGGAGGAACAGTCAGTGCCCTGCTTAAGGGCCCCAGGTGCAGACAGTGAGATGCAGACAGACCAGAGGCCGCCTTTCACCAAAGGGCAGCCCCGGACATGTCTGTCCTACAGGTGGACAGACAAAGAGGGGAGATCAGGTGTAAAGGGCCAGACACACACAGGCGACCCCAGACAGCCAGAGACAGCGCACACAGCAGGGCTGGGGACCCAGACAAATCCCCGCCTGTGAGGGACACGGTCAGACCCAGACAGGAGGACCCAGACAGACACCGAGGGCGGGAAGCCAACACTTAACCATGACGAAGGGAGACAGTCAGACCCCAGGTTGTGCCCAGACAGCCCCTCCCCCATAGGATGAGTCTGGGCACTGCCCGCCTCCCACCCCTCCCCTTGGCCCGAAGCCCCGCCCTCTTGCCCTAGCCCCACCTTCACTGGAACTTACCTCCTAGGTAGGTCAAGGTCAGAGCCCTCCGGGAAACCTGTGAGGAGGCATAGAAGGAGCAGCGGTGTCATGGGGAGCCCCCCACCCCGCGCAGTGTGGCCAGAGTACCTCGTGCCTGATGACCCCGCATTCTAGCCTCGTGGTCGTTAAGAACAAAGGCTTTTTAGGAACTGCCGAGAGAGTTCTGTTCCAAACTCTCAGAGCCTCATCTTCCTCATCGATAAAATGGGTATTCTAATAATAGGGTGATGTATATAAAGCATTATTATTATTACCCCTCCTCTCTCCGTATTCTGCTTGTTAGGACCACCATCTTCAAAGCAATACACCCCCCACATGCTCCCTGAGAAGGTCCTGGATACCCTGTGCCTGAATGGGGCCCTGCAGGCCGGGTGGATGGGCCACGGGAGAGGGCGCCCCACCCGGAGCTCCAGACAGGGGTGGGAACGTGACTGGACCCCGGCCCAGGGTGGGCGAGAGGGCGGGCTCTGGGGAAGGGACTCCATGAGGTGGGGAATTTCAAGGGGCGCGGCTCTTGCGGGGGGCGGGCTCCGAGGGGGTCCGGTTTGGGGGAAGGTCGTGCCAGGGCGGACCTTAGCGGGGTTGAGCTCCAGGGAACGGCCTTGGGGACTCCGTGGGGACGCGGTCCCTGGGGGTCTAGGCAGGCGGACTTTAGAGATCCTAGACGGCGGGGTTCTGGAGCCTTGGGCGCTCCCAGAGCCAAAACTAGATGGGAAGTCTGCAGTGGGGGGGCCCTGAGGGCGGGGCCCCGGAGCGGGTCTTAAGGGAGCCGGGCTCCTTGAGAACCGGCTTAGGGGGCGGGTTTTATGGAGGTTGACTTTTGGGGGCGGGTTACATGGTAGTCTATCTGGGCGGGCTTTAGAGGGAGGGTCCTAGGGACGTGCAATTTATGGGTGGGCTTTGAGGGGGCGGGTCTTGGGGGAGGGGCCTGAGTCGGTGGCTTCTGAGGGGCGGGTCTCTGGAGGCTGTCTCTAGGTGGGGATCTCGGGGGTGGGGCTTCAAGGGCTGAGCTGCCTCAGGCCGCCTCCAAGGAGGGTCGTTTTGGGGTTCACTCAAGCTCAGCACCCCTGGGGGCCCTAATCCACGTTAGGGTTACGCCAGGGGATTCATCCTTTGGGGCTCGATATTGCCCTCAGTGAAATGGGAGGGGACAGGAAATTTGAAGTCCCCTCCCAGACTGTCCTTGGAGGGCCCCAGACCCAGGTGGGGGTGAGACTGCGCCTAGGGGCACCCGAGGGGGCGGGCACCCAACTCTGCGCAGCCCCTGGAGGGAAGGACTGGGGGCCCTGTTTGCGGGTGAAGAAATGCGGAGCGGGCAGCATCTTGACGCAATCAGAGCCGAAGCAGGGATTTGACCGCAGCCCATTTCGAGGCCCGAGGGTGGGCGAACCCGCACCCCGCGTTAACGGGGCAGCCCTCGCGTGTCTGTGCGCTTGGGCGCTGACCGCCACAAGGGCCTGAGTTCAGATGCCCGAGACCCTGCAGGCAGGCTGGCAACCTGTGGTCCTCTGTGGTCCTTTTGCTTCGCCCCTGTCCAAAGTCCCGCAAGCGGACCTGCGGGCGGGGCCTGCCTGGTAGCGGCCCCACTGCTGGCCCGAATTTGCAAAGTGGAGACTGACAACCCCTGGGGGTTCTTGTGATTCAGAAACAATTGTGCCCGGAACACGATGTAGCTCACCGAAGGAATTACATTGTATTAAAATGTTTTATCTCTCTGTTGCATCGATGCCTCCGGGACAAGAACCATTTGGCAGCCAGACATCTTGGGGCCACTAGGAATCCCTCCTCTGCCTCTCACTAGCGGTGCCCTACGGGCCTCAGTCTCCCAAAGTGACAAACGGAAGTAATATGCACCTCTGAGGGCCGTTTTGAGGATGTTTTGGGTAAATGCATGAAAAGCTGAGTCCAGCGCCCAGTACTGCTACATTTACATAGCAAAGGCGACATAAATATCTACTGTTGTTATTATTTATCTCCTGCTTTTTCCAGTTCCCGGAGCAGAGAGTTGGCACCTAATAACTATTTGCTGACTTAATGATTCTATAAGTTCCTCATTCCCTCCCCTCTCCCCTCATCCTATCCAGTTCCCTCACCCCCACCCAGCCTCCACTCCCCAAGAAGTTGCCAAGGGTTTGGGGGAACATTCAACCTGTCGGTGAGTTTGGGCAGCTCAGGCAAACCATCGACCGTTGAGTGGACCCCGAGGCCTGGAACTGCCGTCCACCCATCACGACCCCCACCTTCCAGATCTGGGGGGGCCAGGGGATCCTGAACACATCCCCTCCCTTAGGCCACAGCAAAGGTCACAATCAACATTCATTGTTGTCGGTGGGTTGTGAGGACGGAGGCCAGACCCACCGAGGGATGAATGTCACTGTGTCTGGGCCGGACACAGCCTAAGGGGAATGGGATGGGGAAAAAAACCCCACCCTGGACTCCCCCCAAAAACTGCTCAGCCAGTACCTGACCCTGACCCCAGCCTCTCACCCCTTGGTGAGGGCTGGTGTCTGGGATCCTTACAGACACAGGCTGGATTTGGAGAATAAATCCTGGAGGGTTGGGGGCATGAATCACAGGCTCAGGGCTGGGCAGCTGGGAAACCTTTGTGAAACCGATTAGTGAGGCCCTGCTTCCAAAAGGCTCAATAGAGTTTTCTTGAATGATTGAATGAGTGAGGTGGGTAGGCAGCATAGCACCTCTTCTCTGCGTTCAAGTCCCGGGCCCAGGTTTCTCACCCTCCTTGCCTGGTACCGGCAGACCCCTGCTTTACCTTCAGTTGCCCACCTAGCACCTTGATGCCAGTTGATCCTTCCACCTGCCCATCTGTGTGCCCCACGTGGGTGACTCCTGGGCACACCTTATCCTCCAGAGACTGAGCTGAGGTCTCATTTGAGGGGGAGATCAAGGCACTGGCGAATGCTACGGGTCCCCCCATTAGCCCAGCTTGTGCCTGTGCTCTGCTCCACCCCCTTTCCACCCCAGGACCAGGAGGAGCTGGTCCTAAGGCTCTCCAATACCTAAAGTTCCGTTGGTAACTAACTGCGTGGGGAGGCAGGCTTTTGTGCTTGTCTTTGTGAATAACCCCAGGGGCAGGTGGTTTCATACCCCAGTTTGTTCATCCATTAAATGCGGGATCCACTGAAAAGTGGTGTGAAAGCTCCCTGAGGGTGACCAGAGCTGGGAGCCTTGGTCCTTAACCCCCCACCCCATAAGCCAGGCCCATTCTCCTTCCGAAGACAGTTGGAACATCAGTAGCTCCCCAACCCTTCCCAAAGAGCACAGGGGTACCCGGCCCCTCCCCCAGCCCAGGAGAAGGAAGAAAGGAGTTACTAAGTTACTGGTTACATCAATGCTAGTCTGTCGGGTGGGGCTTCCAACCCTCCCACCCCCATCACCCTGTGGGGCAGGAGAGGCAGGCAGGCTCTAAGGAGGGGTCGCCCTTCCAATGCCCTCTGGGTGGGGCGTGTGGCTCCATATTACTGGTGCCCCCTGCAGCCTGTGTCTTGTCACCCCCCCTCGCCCCCAGCCCACCCAGAGACCATGCATCCCCTTGGCAGGTGCATTTTTGGGGGAGCGGCAGCAAGCCCCCCCTGTGACAATAAGGAACCTCCTACAGCCTGCTCCTCCCTCTTCACACCCCCTTGGAGGTATAAGGAGGGAACTGACAGCCCAGACTGCTCGGCTCCAGAGAGGGGAAGGGAGGGTTAAGAAGGAAGGTGTAGAAAGACAAGCTTTTGGGGCGGCTGGGTTGCTCCTCTCTCTGCCCCTCCGCCTGGCACACAGTGTCCAGCCATGGGGACCTTCAATCTATGGACAGATTACCTGGGTTTGGCACGCCTGGTGGGGGCTCTGCGTGGGGAAGAGGAGCCTGAGATCAGGCTGGACCCCCAGCCAGAACCAGTGCCAGGACCAGAGGAGGGTCAGACACACAGCCCGGAATCCTCACCAGCTCCCGAACGCCTGTGCTCTTTCTGCAAGCACAACGGCGAGTCCCGGGCCATCTACCAGTCCCACGTGCTCAAGGACGAAGCTGGCCGGGTGCTGTGCCCCATCCTTCGAGACTACGTGTGCCCCCAGTGTGGTGCCACTCGCGACCATGCCCACACCCGCCGCTTCTGTCCGCTCACCGGCCAGGGCTACACCTCCGTCTATAGCTACACCACCCGCAACTCGGCTGGCAGGAAGCTGGTCCGCTCGGACAAGGCGAGGACGCAGGACTCCGGACACTGCCGAGGAGGAGGTGCCTGCGCAGGTGGCTGGGGGAACTCGAGGAGGGGGGGTCTGCCCTGGGCTGAGCCCCTAGGGGCCTTTGTGAAGTGGGTTAACCCCTGGAGTCACAACCCACTTCAGAGGGTTGGGGGGTGATCATCCATGTAGACAGCTTAGAGCAGTATTCTAGAACTGTTGCCCTACGCTGGTAAGCTGGGGATGGGGTCCCCTGTGTGGCCTTGGGCAAGGCACTCTCCCTCCCTGGGCCCGTCAGGGAAACGCCATCCTTTTCCAGGTGTGGTGTGATCTAGCAGGGAGGCTGTGGGGACTACTGGTGGGATCTGGGGATGGGTACAGCAGGGGCTCCAATCTGCGTGACCAGAGGGAAATGGCTCAGTTAGAGAAACATTCGCCAGATAGTTTCTGAGGCTTGCCGGGCGCCAAGCGCTGGGCTGTGGGCTCGGCCCGCCGCGGTAGATGGGAGAGTGAGAGTTAGAACACAGGCATGGGGGGTCCAGCGGAAGCGCCTGATCCAGGTGAAGGGGTCCGGGAGGTCCTCCTGGAGAAAGTGGTTTCTGGAAGCCTAATTCAGTTTGGTGGAGCGCTGAAGTGGAGCCCAGGCAATGGGGCTCGTTTAGGAACTTAGTGAAGTTCGGTGTGTCTGGGATAGAGTATGTGTGCATGTATGTCGGAGGGGAAGGTGTCAGAGATTTCAGGGATGGCACAAGGACGTGTAGGTCCTTGCTGGTCACCTCAAAGGGTTTGGACTTGAGTACTAGGGAGCCAAGGAAGGGACAAGACCAGGTCTGCACGTGTTGGACTGTGAATGCGTTAGACCGTGGCTAACGGGCTGGACCGTGGGAACGGATTTGAAGGCGTTGGAAGAGCCTGGTCCTCCAGGCAGAGGTGTTGAAGGCGGCGAAGAGGGAGAGTCCCAGCGCCTGGGGAAATGTCAGTCTGGAGGGAACTACCATGAGTTTGCTGTGTGCGAATCAGCCACTGGCTGGGGCTGAAGTTTAGAAGAGAGATATGGCTGAAGCCTCCCTGAGGTCTAAAGGGCTCTCCCTACACTGCACGGTCCACCACATAGGGCGCTCCCCACCCCCCACCCCCCCATCTTGCTCATCAAATGTGGATTCCAGTTCTGCAGGTCTGGGTGAGGCTTGAGCATCTGCATCTCTAACCAGCTCCCCCTGACGCTGCCATGCTGCGAGGCCACGGACCGGCAGGCTTTGAAGTTATTATTACAGATGAGAAAGGCCTCAGCTTCTGCAGGGTTTTAAAAGAGAAATCCGTTTTAGCAACTTTCATTGACTTTGAGGAAGTCAGCAACAGAGGAGACGGGTCTGACCGGGCGGTCCCCCTGCCCATTTGGGTGCCCGGTGTGGGTACTGCCTCTCCTATCAGACTGTGAGCCCCTGGGGAAGTCACTGGGTGGGAGTACCCCTCCCTATCCCGGCAGCTGTGCAGTGAACATCTGTTAGAAGAGACTGCCTCCAGAAGATAGTGTTCCCTATGAGGTCTGACGAGGTCCAACTGGGAGAGGTGGGAAGCTGAAGGGACGCAAAGATGATGATCTCAGAGTCTTCCGTTTTTCCCCTCAAGTCCGAGAGAACAGGAAAACTTGCCTCCGCGGGCGTGCGGGGTGGGGGAAGCCCTCACCAGCATATTGGCACAGAAAGGCTGCCTGAGGCCGTCCTCCCAGGAGGAGGCAGCACGGCAGGACTGAGTTGGAATTTCTGCGCTTTGTGTCTGGCTCTGGGTCCCACCTGGGGCTGCCCGGGGCCGGGAATGTCACAGGGGGTGCTATTCCAGAAATAGCCTGCAGGTGGCGCCAGAGCCATGGCAGCCCTGCAGGTTGAGTCGGTACTTCCGGAGCATTGAATCATCCCTGTTATTAAATGTTTTTCTCCTCCCGTTCTGCTTTTAAAATCCAGGTTCCAAAGGTGCCGGGAAGCCTACTGGAACTACCCCCTCTTCCTGCTTACCCTCCACTTCTGCCTAAGGAGGCTGGAGCGGGCAGGACGGGGATGCTGCCTTCACCTGGGGTTGGGGACCCAGGCTCACTGGAGCCTGGATTTCAGGGAAGACTCGCCCACCGAGGATCCACCCCTAGGCCCTGCCCGCAGCCTGAGGGCCTGGCAAAGGAGCCCCGTCTGGAAGCACAGCCCAAAGGGTGCCCCGACCCCCTCACGGAAGGAGGTGGTTCTCAGGCACCCCAGCCCTCCTTCCCCAGCGCTGGGCACCCAGTCAGCTCTCAATAAATGTTTATGAATGGATCAGCGTCATAGCAGGCCCGGTCTTGGGACAAGGTAGCGTGAACTGTGCCGATGGGGCTGGGGACCCTCCTCTCCTGGCTCATCCCTTGCCCCCACGTTACTCTGACCTCCACATGCCCCGACTGCTGTTTGGATTGCCGTTTACCCTGGGGCCTTGGGGTGAGCTGCTTTGTGCTGAAAAATGGGAGTGGGCACCACAGGTTAGCTATGGGGTTCTGAGGGGTCGCCCCAGCCTGGCACTTATGAGCAGGGCACTTGCTGATGGGTTGGCGTCATGAGGCTGTTTCTGTGACGCTTCGGGTTTGCAGACTCTTCCAGCCACCCCTTGCATATTGACAATATCAGGTGGAATCCCCTACCCTGGAGGTGGGGGCCTGACTTGAGGAAGGGCAATGGGGAGACAGAGGTTCCCCCGCATCACTGTCCTCACCTAGGAGGCTCTTAGTGAACGTTTAGGTCACCATCGATGCCCCAGCAACTGGGGGCCATGGAGTCACACGCAGGCTCTTCAGAGCAAGGGAAGGACTTCCGGGCTGGGGCAGGGGTGGGGTGGGGAGCTGCAAGGAATGGGAGTATATCCAGAGGGGGCTGGGCCAGGCGAGGCCATGGGTAGGGGGCACCACGGAGGTGATTTGGCTGTGCTTAGGCAGGAGTGGGTGTGGGGTGGACATCCATCCCCACCCAGGAAGTATGATCTGGTCCTCCTGGGGAGCTGTGCTTGGGGGGATCCCCATCCCGTCTGCCTCCTGCACCCCTACATCTTGTTCCCCCAGCCCCCCGGGGGCAGCAGATGACAAGTGCCTGTCCACATCCCTCCCCCAATCTGAGGGCTTGGCCTGAGGGCCCGGTCTCCACCCCCAGCCGACAAGGTCTCCCAGGGTTGAGTGGGGGCAGGATTTGGACTTCCACTTGAACTGGGACCTGAGGCCACCCAGGAGGAGGGCTGGGGTGAGCCGGGGATGGGAGACGGCCCTTGAAGACAGCCTGCTGCCCAGGCTTGAAGACGAGAGGGAAGGAGGAGAAAGACACAGAGGAGGCCTCTTTACCAGCCCCAAGAGTTTCAGATTGAGTCAGTGGACACGATCCCCCAGCCACCCCCAGGTGCCTGCAAATGCTAATTGTATAAGCCAGAGCCGCTGGGGTTTGAGACACAGGGAACTGGGCGATTGGGCACGTCCTGGAGCGTTCAAGGAAGTAGCTGCACAGCCAGCAGGCAGAAGGGTTGGGGGACCCTGACCCACCTTGCTCCCTCGCAAATGGGGTATCCCAGGGTATAAAAAGGCTGTGGGAGGGGGCCCTGCCTTGGCTGCAGGAGTTAGGGTGCAGGAGCCACAGGCAGAGAAACAAATTAAAGTATTGGGTGTGGTCCATCTCGTGGTGACCTATTTAATAGAAGCGCGTCTTCTGCAAAATGGGTTTGACAGCAGCACCCTGGACTGCTCATGACAGTGTGGCATCACTGGGGCTGTGGTATGGTTTGGTGGGGTGGTGTGTGCAATGCCTGCCCTCAGCACCCTCCAGGCAGTAGCTGTGTCTGCATCAGTAACATTCCCCCAGGGTTGCCTCCTTCCAGGCCAAGGCCTCCAAGCAGCTTGTCCCACGGAGGACGGGCGAAGCCATCTCAGCACTGAATACAGACTCGCAAACTCCACTTGGACAATCAGTCAAGATACTCTGTGTGCTTGAATTCGTGCACACAGCCACCTGCTCCTGACACACTCAGTACTGCATGGGGGACCCCTGAATCCAACAGTAGCCGAACTTGTCTTCCCGGGGAAGACGAAAAGTAGAAGTCAAAGGAGAAAGAGATGGTTAGGGAGGTTTGTGGGCAAGATATCAAGGAACTGAAAATGCCTCAAACCCCAAACAACAGGTCAGGAGGTCTGAGGTCTGGCTAGGGAATCATTTATTAATGGGCTTCCCAAAAGAAAGAAAATGGAAATCCGGAGAAAAACAAGGGTACAACCAACAAAGCTAGCCCTTTTCTCTTCCAGGAAAGAAACAAATTCTGAACCTTCCATAACCTCGGCTAAGGAGCTGAAATTTGCAAACCCAGATAAACATCTGGGCAGCTCTGCGGGGGGGGGGCCCCCCCACCCACCCACAGCTTCCTGGGGCCCCAGCCCCCCTCTCTGCCTCCAGCTTCCAGGCCTCTGCCACCGGGAGGAGCAGGTTCCCTCCCCCACGCGACCCCCCGAGGGAGGCTGCTGAGGAAGGCAGGGCCTTTTCTGTTTCCCATAGGAAGTTGACTTCCAGGTCAGCTGAGGGGAGGTTTCTGGGGCCCACCAGGACTTGCTGGAGCATCTCGGATGGTAACAATATAACAGGGGGCACACAGGGGCCAGCAGGCTTTCCGGAGTCTGCTGAGGGATTGTTTCCAGCTGTCTGGCAGGAACATCAGGCACTTCTGGGGGCCCGTGAGCTCGTACGAGCACACACACCTACGAGTCCCTCCAGGACTGCTCCCCTCGAGGGAGATTCCCAGCCCCCTTTGGTGTGTAGGCTGCAGGGGCCTTCCCCGCCGGCTTTGCTTTCTGGTAGTAGTTGAGGCGCTTGAAGGCCTCCAGGTCCCGGTGGGCGCTCATGATCAGCCGGCTGTGTGGGAAAGGGTCTGAGCTGTGCTCCACCTCGCGGCAGAGTGGGACCATGCCTCACACTCGGGCACACACCAGCCTGCTCACACAGGCTCACACCCTCATGTGACCTCACAGGTCACACACACAGGCATGCACACGTGCATAATCAGAATCTGCCTGCAGCAGGGCAGGTTGTGACCCTTGTAGCCTCTCTTCAGAGCCTAACAACTCTGCGAAGGACGGGTTTATGACACAGCCGGCTGGGGCCCAGGAGCGGTGGAGCGTCCCAGAGGCCCCTCGCTGGGGATCCCGGGCCCACACTGACACCCCAGGATCGCTGCCGTACTGGGCCCTCCACATCCTCCCGCGGCCCCATCCCCTCCACCCGTTCCTGGGGACTTGTGGATCCGTGGATCCGAGCCCAGCCCTTACTTCAGGTTGGAGAGCTCGATGACGAGGCCTCGCACGGTGTCTGTTGCATCCTCCATCCTGGCGGCTTCGCAGGTCTTGATCCCCATTCGGGTCCTGGTGGGAAGGGAGAGAGGGCAAGAGGCCTGACCTCACTGGACAGCTCCACCAGACTCTGCCCTGGAGGGCTTCGCTGGGCCTCGAGCTGTCTTCTCCAGAGATGAATGCCTTTGACAGTCATGAGGCCACCCTGGGCACAGCCCTGATGGCCGACCCAGCCGGCTCTACTGCTGAAATCACACCGGATCCAGCCACTTCCCCCACCGACGTGGCCCTTGTCCGACAGCTGCCACAGCCTCCCCGACCCCCAGCTCCTGCCCCTACAGCCTGTCCCCCCTGTGGCCTGGGGCGCAGGGGAGGGCGTGGCAATGGAAAGCAGGCCTAAAGCCCCTCCCCAAAGCCCTGCATCATCTGTGCACCTCCAGACCCCAGCCCCTCCCTCCCGTCTCCGCTCCTCCCTGCTCCAGCCACACTGAATGCCTGGCCATTCCCTGAGCATTTCTTAGGGCTCTGGAGTGTTCTTTCCTAAATGTCTCCTCCTTGCGGGGGGTGGGGGTGGGGGGGGTGGAGAAGGTGGGAGGAGGGAGCCCTCTCCATCACCACAGGTTAAAATTTTAACCCCTGCCCTGCTGTCTTTTTCTCCCCAACACTCTGCCATCTGACCACCTAATTTGTCTGTCTCTCGCTCACCCCTGCTCTGACCCCCAATAGGTAGAAGCTTCATGTTTTGTCCCACGCAGCCTCCCCAGTGCCCAGAGCAGTTCCTGGAAGAGCCGGCACTGGCGGGCGTCAGTGTCTATGGAAGGGGTGGATGTGCCTCTGTACCACCGTATCTAACGGGTGCAGCCTGTGGTGGGCAGGGGGTTGCCCAGCTTGGCAGCATCTCCTGGGTTGTCACTATGGGAACCCCGGTTCTGCTCCACCTGCCTTGGTCACCTTGAGACGACTGGCCAGTCCGGGCCTCAGTCTCTTGCCTTTTCTCCCTCAGCCATGGGCCACAGAACCAGACCCTGGGACCCACCTGGGGGCTTCCAGCCATCCATGGAGGCCGCTGGAGATTCACCCAGGAATCTCCCTCCTCTTTGCTCAAACAATAGTGGGGCCACTTTGACTAAACTGCCTCTGGTCCCTGTGCAGGGTGTGCGTGCGTGTGTGTGTGTGTGTGTGTGTGTGTGTGTGTGTGTGTGGAGGGGGGCGCAGGGGGTGGGGCAACAAGTGGTGCAACAGGTACTATTTACAGATGTGTGTAAGGGCAGAAGGTGGGAGCACGGCCTCCCTCTCCCCTGAGGGGGAGGAGAAAGAGGAAAGAGACAGACTCCCTAACCCTCCTCCACACTTGCCAGACAGAAACAGAAGCTTGGCCATAAATAATCAATAAGCCGCCACTCTGCAGAGAGGCCAGTTCAGGTTCAAGGTAACGGGAGAGGACTGTCGCTCAATGCTAGCCACCAGCAAGGCTGGGAGACAGGAAAGGTGATGGACTGTGAGAGGCTCTGGGGTGGGGGGAGAGGACTCCCCCCAACACACACACACACACACACACACACACACACACACACACTCCATAAGCTGGAGGAAAAGCACACCTGGTGCCTGCAGGAGGGAAAGAAGGTGGGCTGCCTTGGGGAATAAAATCAAGCAGGAAATAAGATGGGGCAGGTCGGAGACTCTGGAGGGCCCGAGGGTGCCAGAGAGGGGATGGCCCCTGTGGGCCAATGGTTCTTGGCCCTGTCTGGGTCCACTCCCCCTCCATGGAGATTCAGGGAAAGCTCTGGACCTTCTCTCCAGAAAAACGCACAATGTGCATTAAAACAACCACAGAGCTGGGGGCATCATCCCAGGGGTTCTTGGGAGAGATGCTGGCTTGGGTGCAGATTGCTGACGAGTTCTCCACTCGCGGGGAGCAGGGGACATGGGTGGTTTGAAAGTCGGGGCTTAGCAACCTTACTGGACCGAGGAAAGTGAGGCCCCTCGAGGCAGAGCCAGGGCGACCTCCGACACTCCCATCCACAAAATGGGAGCTCAAAGGGCTGGGGGGAGTGAGAGCATGGGGGCTCTAGTGCCAGGAAAGCAGCCACTCTCTCCCCTCCCAGGGACAAAAGGAGGACTCCTGTCAAGGAAAGCGTTCTGGGGTGGCCTCCCACCCTGCCTACCTTGGCTGGGCCTCAGCAAGGGAGCCTCCATCGGCACGTGGGCTGGTGCCAGGCCAGCAAGGGTCCAGCCCGCTCCCTGCAGGAGACAACTGGAAAGACAGAGCATGCACACATGTGAACGGCCCAGCTGGGTGAGCCCTGCATAGGGAAGGAAAAGTCAGGCAGGGGAGGTCTGGCTTCTCCTCTGCCACGCCAGGAACACCGAGGCTGGACTCCTGCAGAGGAAAAGTGGTGTGGGGGACAGATGCCACGATGGCCAGATCTACGGGCCACCAGCCCGGGCTGCTCTCACCCTCCCTCTTTGGAAAGAAAGCAGAAGGGCAATACTGGGCCTGACCCTGGGGTCCCGTCCCGGACCTGCGCCTTTCGACAGGCTGATTTGTACTGGTGGGCGGCTCCATCCACACGTTCTCTGTCCCTGACAACTGAGGAGTGGTGCTGTCTCCAGCTTGTCCTGCAGTATCTAGAAGGGTACAGAGAAGACCCTGAGTGGTGGCGACTGTGGCAAGGTGGGCATCTGGCATGGAGGGAAAGAGGTCGGCTAGATAGGCCACAGGTTTCATGTCAGGAAGAGATTTTGCAAATGTATTTTGAAGGGAAAATTCATAATTAATAGGGGAGAGAGCCAGATAACCCTGAGAAGCTTAAATTTCTAAATGTCAACGGTGGTTTAATTTTCATGGAAAATGTCAGGCTCAGTTGTGGAGGTGACATACGTCCTTCTGAAAAGAGGCAAAGAGGCTCAAGTGGAGCGGCCGGCCCAGGGCTGTTGGGCCTTTTCTGAGGACACTAAAGTCCTGGGGTGGCGGATGGGGTGAAGGGCTTGCACTCGACCTGCAAAGGGTCCCTGAATCCAAATGAACAGACGTGAGGAACTGGCTGCAGCCCGGCGGCTCTCGCGTGGGGATGACTCCGCCTCCAAGACACTTAAGTGTCCGAAACCACTTTTGGTTGTCATGCCCGGGGGAGAGGGTGCTCCTGGCACCTGGGGGTGGAGGCGAGGGACACTGCTCAAGCCCCTGCTGTGCACAGAATGGTGATCCAGCCCCCAACACCAGTAGTGCCGAGGTTGGGAAGCCTGCTCTAGGCGATAGTTTCTCCCGTGCACCTGGCTGACTTTCACGGAGGCAACTCTGACTTAAAATACAATTTGAGGGCTTCCCTGGTGGCGCAGTGGTTAAGAATCCGCCTGCCAATGCAGGGACACAGGTTCGAGCCCTGGTCTGGAAGATCCCACATGCCGTGGAGCAACTAAGCCCGCGCGCCATAACTACTGAGCCCACGTGCCACAACTACTGAAGCCTGCGTGCCTAGAGCCTGTGCTCCGCAACAAGAGAAGCCACTGCAATGAGAAGCCTGTGCGCCGCAACAAAGAGTAGCCCACCCTCGCCGCAACTAGAGAAAGCCCGCGCACTGCAACGAAGACCCAAAGCAGCCAAAAATAAATTTAAAAAAAAATACAATTTGATGCCACAGATTCACCCAACTCACGGCACCATTCTTGGTCATGAGGGATAGTCTCTTTCCCAACAGGTACCACGGCTCCCACCAGGGTTGTGTAAATGTCATGACAAAGGCGGTGCTTGTATTGAATGTGTGGGGACCACCCCTGTGGGCTGTGAGAGGGGCCTGGGAGTCAGTGTTTTAAATGACACTGCTTGTGGGCAGAGGAGGGTTCCACCGGCCCTGGGGTGAGCACCACGTCCCCAGGGAGCCGCAATGAGAAGAAAGCACCAAGTGTTCCTGTGAGGGCAGCTGGGTTTGAAGCCAGTCTGTCACTGCTGTGAGACCCCAGGGCCCCTCCTCTGAAGCGGTGCTCACAGCTGTGCCACAGTGAGGTCGAGGGCTGCTCTCTCGGTCCACCTGCGCGCTGTTCCCATGTGTCCCTGCCCACAGGGCCTGCCCGCACCTTCCCATGGGAACCTGTGCCTGGGTTGCCCCGACTTGTTCAGGAACGCCCAGTGTCAAAACAAAACGTGCCTGGGCGCCCACAGCCTTGTCAGGGCAGTGCCTCCTCTCCCAGCAGGGCTGTCCACCCCAGCTGCTGCTAGGTCCCCCGCACTGGTGCTGCCAGCTCCTCGGTGATTTCAGAGAGCACTCACTGGTGGCAGGTCTGGGAGGGCTTGCTCCTTTGCCCTCTGGGCGCCACCCAAGGTCCCAACTGCTTCCCCAGCCTTATCCCTCAGCCACAGCCCAAGAAGCCAGAGACTGGGGATGACTTAGCTCTTCTTTCCAAGAGAGGGGTTTGCATTTTTCAAGGGATGCAGCTTTAGTTATAAAGTTTCAGCTCTGCCCAGCACCTGAGCGCCCACCTCTCCCGGCAATCATGTTTAAACACTACGACCAAACCGCGGTGTGACTCGATTTCTGTGCTCTTGCTCATCTGGTGATCACAGCAACGTGCAACGGGTGGTACAAGGAATTGGGGCCGTGGCAGGGAGGGCCGGGTCTGCAAAGTCACCGGGTAGGCCTGTGTCACAAATGACCCCTGGCCATCCCTTGGAAAGGCAGCGCCTGAGACCCACATTAGCTCAACCCAGTCACATCCCCCTCTGCAGTGGGAACAGCTGGCTTTCTTCGGCTGGGCACCAGATGAGGTCCTTTGCTTGTTTGGGGGCTGTGTCGTATGATAAGACTCTTTTAAGTGCCAAAATGACAGGGTACAAAATGCTCACTCCGGGAGAGGCAGGTGGGAACGGTGCTACTGAAAACCTCACGGGGGCAGGGACCATGCCTGATCTGTTCACTCCTGGCATAGAGCGGACTCTCACATCTTAAAAACATTTTCAAACAACCAATAAAATGAAGTTTTAAAACAGGGACAGCCAAAGAAACGGAGGCCATGTTTGTGAAGCGACATGGGCTCTGCGTTCGCTCCAGGACGGAACAGTTGAGGCACAGCTGCAGAATCAGGCCAACCTGGGCACAGACCCAGGCTCCTCCCCTCCTGGCTGCCTCATCTGGGGCAGGTGCCCAACCTTCTTCAGCCTCTCAGCCACACCCAGTGTGTGGAAAGAGAACCACCTACCTATCAGGGTGAGGCTGCAAAGCACTTAGCTCAGGCTCAAGTGCGCCAGCAGCCAGAGATGTGGCGCTTCCTGAGGGGGCGGGGCCAAAGCAGGGACTGCCACCTGCCCTGACAGGTGACCGCCAACGGCCAGCACAGGCTCAGCAGGCAGATCCCTGAAGGACGCAAAGCCCCTAAAATTCCAGCAGACAAACGAAATTCCATGTATGTGTCTGAAAAAGAATTGTATCTGGGCCCCCAAATGACCCTAAAGATGGGCAAAGGTTCTTTCCAGTGGGGGAATGAAGTTCCCGCCCGCAGCCCAGGTTTGAGGTCACTGGCTTCTTTAGGTCACCCCATCTGGTCCGTCACCCTCCATACATCCCTCGGGAACCTCCGGCCAGAGCAGGGAGGGCACTGAAGGGTGGAGGGGGCAGGTGCACCAGGGGCTCTCCCTGGGCTGACACATCCCGGGGCTCTTCAGCTCTCACACAGATGGGCCCCTCATAGAAAGGCAGGTCTATCCTCTCCAGAATGTCAGACTCCACACCCGCTGAAGCTGTGACTCAGACCCCTGGACCCATCTGCTGTACAAACAGATGGCCACGTGCCCACCTCTCCCCCACTACCGGGTGGTTTGGGAGGGCTTGTGGCCATTTGGCACCTGTACTAGGACATCTCGCTGTAACTCAAGGAAGCTCTTACCTGTTCAGGTGGGGCTTCAAAACCAGGGGCTTCCAGGGCATCCTGTGTCTGGCTGTCCGGCAGGAAGTAGAGTTCCATGGCTGAGGACCCCTCCCAGACAGCCTGCTCTGAAGAGTCAGCAGGGTGCTCAGGCTGGCCTGCTGGGCTTGTGTGGGCATCTGGGCTGCCCTGACGTGCCCCAGCATCCTGGGGAGGGCCGTCCACTGCTTCTCTGTACACTGGTGGAGCACAGGCTCCGAGGGACAAACTGCGCCCCTTGAGGTCTTGTTTGTGGCTATGGCTCCCTAACTCAGCTGCCTTTTTACCCACAGGTTGCGATAGCAAAGGCAGCAAGCACATACCTCCCAGCCCTTCTTCATCTGGGCCTGGTACCTGTGTCTGACCCACACCTGGACCCATTTTCAAAGCTAAAGGGCTGGAATCCCCAGCACCTATTGTGGGTTCTTGGATCTCGTGAGCCGGAGCCAGGGAGGCTGCAAGGCCCCCCGGGACATCATCAGGGGGCTTGTCTTCCCGCCTTGCCTTCTCTCTGCCTCCTGTGGTCTCCCCATTGAGAGGCATGCACCCGATCAGGGCCCTGCTGTGGCCTCCATCAGGAGCCTTCCCACTGGGAGAGGCAGTCACCCTGGCGTTGACTGTCCCATCTGGCCCAGCCACCCCCAGAGCCCTCTGTTCTGGCTCCGTGGCGTCTGTGCTCACACCTGCGATGACAACAGCCCCAAGGCGGGAGCACCTTGGGCTGCTATAGCTCCCCTCTGCTCCCCCGCCAGTCCAGCTGGGCATCTGCAGAGGCCCAGGAGGGCCCTGGGCTGCATATCTGGGCTCTGGGCCCAGGATGCCATCTTCTTCCTCCTGGCACTCCTCAGGCAGCTCAGTTCCTGCTTCCCCTCGGACACCTCCCTCCTGAGGGGCTCCTTGGTCTGGCTCCTCTTCAGCATCACTGCCTGGCAGGTGCCCTTTCTGGCCATGATCACCTGGAACCCAACCCTCCTCCGTGCTTCCACCATCTGGCACGTTGGTCCCATGCTTTGACAGGTGGTCCTGGCTGGCCCTCTCTGAGGCCGAGGGCACTGTCCCCCACTCCAGAGAGGCAATGCTGGAGGCCAAGGGCTGAGGATCCCCATCGCCAGGCACAGGTGTCACAGGGTTTTGGCCGCTGGGCTCGGGGCAGGCGCCGTCTGCCTGGGTCTGGTCTCCTGGGTCCCTAGTCTCCTGCAGGGCAAGCCCTGGGGACTCCTCTCGAGGCTGGCTTCTGGCCTGCTGGGCACTGGGTTCTGGCAGCGTTTCCTGTGGAGAGAAAAAGACTCAGCCTTGGGCCTTCAATAATCAACAGCTCTGAGGATTTTTCTACTCATTACTGCCCCTGTACAAAGTCTCAGAAGCTGCACGGATGACGGTGCACCCAAATAGGGATCAGTCCCCATGCTGGGCAGAGCTTTGTGCCAGGGGCTAGAGGGGGAACCGGAAGCACAGGAACCCCTCTTTTTTTTGGCCACACCACACGTCACGTGGAACTTCCCCAACCAGGGATTGAACCCCCACCCCCTGCAGTGGAAGTGCGAAGTCTTAACCACTGGACCACCAGGGAAGCCCCAGGAACCCCCTTTCTACCAGCTCCTTCTCCCCACCAGCACCAGGCACGTGGAGGCTCTCGGGAAGATCAAGGATATAAAAATCGAGGAGGTCCTGTGGATCGCACCAGTGTCAATGTCAGTTGCCTGGTGCTGCCAATGGACTACAGTTACATAACATGCTACCGCCGGGGGATGCTCGGGGAGGGCACACGGGGGCCTCTGTGTACTGTTTTGTTTTTAATTTTGGTAAAATACACATAACCTAAAATTCACCATTTTAATCATTTATTTTTTGAAGGAAATGATCTTTTTAAAAAAAGTGTTTATTTGTCTGCATTGGGTCTTAGTTGCGGCACGCGGGATCTTTCAGTGTGGCACAGGCTCTGTAGTTGCAGCGTGCGGGCTTAGTTGCCCCATGGCATGTGGGATCTTAGCTCCCTGACCAGGGATTGAACCCACGTCCCCTGCATTGGAAGGCGGATTCTTAATCACTGGACCACCAGGGAAGTTCCCACCACTTTAATCATTTTAAAGTGTATTTAGTTCAGTGGCATTAAGTACATTCACAAGGTCGGGCAACCATCACCACCATCCATCTCCAGAACTCTTTCATCTTCCCAAACTGAAACTCTGTCCCCATGAAACACTAACTCCCCACTTCCCCAGCTCCTGGCAACCCCCATTCTACCTCCTACAGAATCGGTAGAATTTGCCTCCTCTAGGGACCTTGTATAAGTGGGATCATACAGTATTTGTTGCTTTGTGTCTGGCTTATTACACTTAGCGTAATGTCCTTCAGGTTCATCCATGTTGTAGCATGTGTCAGAATCCCTTCCTTGGGACTTCCTTGGTGGTCCAGTTATTAAGACTCCATGCTCCCAATGCAGGGGGCACGGGTTTGATCTCTGGTTGGGGAACTAAGATCCCACATGCTGCATGGTGCGGCCAAAAAAAAAAAAAAAGAATTTCTTTTTAAAGCTGAATAACATTCCGTTGTGTGAATATACAGTATTTTATTTGTTCATTCATCTGTTGATGGCTACTTTGGGTGCTCCCACGTTTTGGCTACTGTGAATAATGCTGCAGTGAACATGGATGCACAAATATCCGTTCCGTCATACGGATATACCACATTTTGTTTATCCATTCATGCATCGATGGACACTTGGAGCCATATTGTTTCCTTTTTTTTTTGTATTTTATTTTTTTTTATACAGCAGGTTATTAGTTATCCATTTTATACATATTAGTATATACATGTCAATCCCAATCTCCCAATTCATCACACCACCACCTCCCGCTGCTTTTCCCCCTTGGTGTCCATACGTTTGTTCTCTACGTCTGTGTCTCAGTTTCTGCCCTGCAAACCGGTTCATCTGTACCATTTTTCTAGGTTCCACATATATGTGTTAATATATGGTATTTGTTTTTCTCTTTCTGACTTACTTCACTCTGTATGACAGTCTCTAGGTTCATCCACATCTCTACAAATGACCCAATTTCGTTCCTTTTTATGGCTGAGCATACTGTTTCTGCAACCTCCTCTGAGTCCACATAATGCCCTGGAGATCCATCTAGGTGGTTAAGTGTATCACACCTGTTTGTTCCTTTTTTATTGCTGGGTTGTGTTCCATGGTGTGGATGGACCATGATTTGTTCAACCATTCACCAGCTCAAGGACATCTGGGGTGTTCCCGGTTGGGGGCAATTACAAACAAAGCTGCTGGGAATGCCCACCACTCACTTTTTTTTTTTTTTTTTTTCAGTACGCGGGCCTCTCACTGTTGTGGCCTCTCCCATTGCGGAGCACAGGCTCCGGACACACAGGCTCAGCGGCCATGGCTCACGGGCCCAGCCGCTCCACGGCATGTGGGATCTTCCCGGACCGGGACACGAACCCGTGTCCCCTGCATCGGCAGGCGGACTCTCAACCACTGCGCCACCAGGGAAGCCCCCACTCACTTTTTTAGGTGTGTGTGTTCCAGAGACATCATGACCCCTGGAGCTCGTGGTGGCAAGGACAAGAGAGCCTGCTGTAAGACCCACCCACCCCGACTCACACAAAAGCTTCTGAGGAGCATAGGGGTTCAGGGATGGAATGTGGGCTGCCTTTCTGAGTTTCACTACTTTCATGCAACTTGGGGAAGAGAGCTCTGGCCTCGACAGCTTCAGTGCAGGCACGGCTGTCCTGAGTACCTCTCACAGGCCTGCGAGTTGCTGGCATGGCACCTGCCATCCACAGACATCTGTAGTGCTAAAAACGGGGTGTGTGTGTGGAGAGATGCAGGGCTAGCCATTGCCAAAGGAAATCAAGGCTGAACTTGGCTGCCAAGGTTGGGCCAAGAGGAAGGTCGATGGTAGGACCTTACCAAGCTGAAGGCCCCACTCCTGGGGTCCTCCTCCCTCCTCTCTGCTCGTCCTGTCACTGTCTTCCTGGGTTTTGTAAACTGGGGGACAAACCTCCCGACTGAGTTCTGTGAACCAGATACAACAAGAACAAAACAGCAGTAAAGATGAGGGAGGAATGACGTCTCGGAAATCAAGCAAGCAGACACCAGAACAAGTTTCTCTCTTGCAATCTCAAACTCTCAAGGCCCTTGCCTTCCATCCCCAGCACACCCTCCCACCAGCAGTTACTGATGAGGAACAGAGACAAGATCTCCAGCTGAAGGGAGGCAGCATCTTTTGTACATACGTCAGGCTGCAAAACAGGCTCACCTGGGAAGGAGGAAGGCGAACTGGCTCTTTTTCTGGCTGCCCGAGGAGCCTGGAGGGAGCTCCTGCTTCCTCATAAGGAGAGCTGGGAGGAGAAAGACAAAACAGAGGAGGTTCTCAAGTCCTCCTACGCTGTTAACTTGCATAGTAAGACAAACAGCGGCGAATGAAATCCAAATGCAAAGTAGCGCCCAGGGTCTCCTAAGAGGGAGGCCCTGGAGCACCTGCTGAGAGAGGGTGGGATGGAGAAGGGGACATGTGACTGCCAAGAAGGGTGTGGAGTCCCACATCCAGAATCCAAGTTGCCTGCTCTGGCAGCACTTAAACTCTTATAATCCCAGGAACTGGCTCCTGAAGTAAGAACAGGAATTCTCATTTGGACTGACTGACACTCCAGCCCCCAGCTCTGCAAACAGTAAAGAAGTTGTAGATACAAAAAAACACAGTGTCTAAAAAAACGGGTGCGTTCTTATCTGCCAAAATGCGGAAGCAACTGAGATGGCCTTCAGTGGGTGAGTGGATAAATAAACTGTGGTAATCCAGACAATGGGACAGTATTCAGCGCTAAAAAGAAATGAGCTCTCCTCTAATCAATACTCTGTAGTGGCCTATGTGAGAAAAAAATCTAAAAAAGAGTGGATATATGTATATGTATAACTGACTCACTTTGCTGTACACCTGAAACTAACACAACACCGTAAATCAACTATACTCCAATAAAAATTTTAAAAAATAAAATCATGCCATCTGCTTTATAAAAAAAAAAGATTGAGCTCTCAAGCCATGAAGGCACATGGAGATACCTTAAATGCATATTCCCAAGTGAAAGAAGCCAATCTGAAAAGGCTACATACTGTGTGACTCCAACTATATGATATTCTGGAAAGAGCAAACTATGGAGACAGTGAAAAGATCAGTGGTTACCTGGGGTTGGGGGGAGAGATGAATAGGTTAGGATTTTTATGGCCATAAGAAGACTCTGTATGATACTGTAATGAGGGATATATGTTATTATACTGTTGTGCCAACCCACAGAATGTACAACACACAGAATGAACTCTAAAGTAAACCGTGGACTGTGTCAATGTAGGTTCATCCTTGGTTAAAAAAATGTACCGTTCTGGTGAGTCATGGTGATAATGGGGGAGGCTGTGCATGTGTGGGGACAGGAGGTGTATCGGAAACCACTGTACCTTCCTCTCAATTTTACTGTAAACCTAAAACTGCTCTAAAGAAGTAAACCCTTTTTAAAAAAACTGGTGAGACTTATGATTATGTCTAAATAAATGTGGATATGTACGTTGTAAAAAAAAAGATCAAAATCTGGAACTGAAACTTCATGGTTTCAACTTTGGAAGTGGAGCAGGAAAACGCATGAAGCTATACTAATGGGCTTGAATCGTGCCAAGGGAGGTTATGGAGACAGAGTAACTCTAGATACTGATAGCAACCGCCTGTTTCAAAATTTTTAATTGGGATGGGTTGTTTGGGCGGCTTCTGGGGTACTGGCAAAGTTTCATTTCTCAACATAAATGTGTTAAACTGACTGCTTTATGTTGCTTTCTTCTGTTATATTTCTGCACGTGTGGTATTTCTTAATAAAACATTTAAAAAACAGAAACAAAAGAGTGGGAACCCACTTCTGTGGGTTCTGATTATTCTTATGGTCTCAGGCAGCAGGGTGGGCAGCAGCCATGACCCCATCAGCCCTGATATGGCCTCTCGAGGGGTGAGGGGCACAGTGTGACATCACTGTGTCTGTCTGGGGGAACAGCTTAGGTGTGATACACGGCCCCTCTCTTCCTATCACACACAGCCTTTAGCCGTAGGATTGCAAAGACCTGAGATCAGACAGACACACACCCCAGAAAATGGTTCTGTCAGCCAGACTGCATGCCTCAATTTTCCACTCAGAAAACGTGCTAGTCCAATCCATGATGCTTTCTCTGAAGGCTTCAGGTAGCAGGAACCTTCCTTCTCCTAACTCCTGCTAACCCTTTCTACTCTGCTATAGTTACATGTGGTTTAACCCTGTGGAGACTGAATGGTTCTCCAGATCTTTCTTCCTTTCCCCTACCGTGCTTAATTACATATTTTCTGAAAAAATAAGGGAACCGGGAAACCACTGTGGTAAAGAGCAAAGGAACCAGACGCAGCCAGAACCCCAGCCTGCCTTGTACCAGCTCAGTGGCCTTGGGAAAGTCATTTTGATCTCTCGAAGCCTCAGAGTCCTCATATGCCAAATGGGGATATAAACCCATGTCACAGTGCTGTGAGGATTAAATGAGCTGATGTGTGTAAAGTATTTATTATTAGAATGCTGCCTGGAACATAAAGATCGTTATTCTCTCTTATGGGTTATTGTTTCACAGACCCACCACTCCTTCAGTCCCCTCTTGATTAAGAGGAAATGTGGATAAATATGGATTTGACCAACAGGCAGGACAAGTTGCATTCCATAACTAAGTGACCTTGAAAAATTCAAGGTCTTCCTTGCCCGTGGTTAAAATATCGACCTTTCTCGCTGAAGAGGAGAGTCCCCAGAGCAAAACTTTGAGAAGCTCAATCCAAGGGCCCCGAGCCCCTGTGGGGGATGCATGGCACTGGGTGGGTCGTGTTGACTGGCCCCCTCCCCTTTGCATCCTGTGCCCACTGTCAGCGGAGAGGCTTGCTGGAATGTTCTGAGCCACCTACCTGGAAGCTGCCTGTCCTGGTGCCTCCCTGCTCTGCTCTGCAGAGGGAGCGGGTCCTGATCTGCTTTCTGTCTCTTCAGGGTGATGCCAATGGCCCAACTTGGAACTCTGGGGGTCCCCGTCAGAGTCTCCTAACCTTGGGTTCTTTGGAAGTTTTGGAGGACGGATTCCTTCCCCTCCTGGTTTAGAGACAAAAGAAGATGAAGGGGAGGGGGATGGCGGGAGCATGCACTGCCGTGGCCGACCACCAAACACATCTGGGCCACTGATGCAACATGAGCAGGCTTGTGCAAAGGGCAGGAAATCCCTGCTCTGACGCTTGCCTGGAGAGTGAGAGATGAGATGGAATTTCATCCAGGTGGGACCCAGGAGCTTACATGGCCATGGGATCCAAAGGCTTTTAATCTATGGACTGGTCACGACTGACGTTCAATCCTGAGGTGACTGGGCCTGGCTCGGAACCACACGAGACAACCTGGCCCAGCTGACTGTCTCTCTGCGGAAGTGCTGAGAGGTGTGTGCTGGCTCCTTCGGGTCTCAGCTCAAATGTCCCTGCAGTGGCATCCTTGCCTTTTCTACAGAGCAACTCCTCTCGGGCCCGTGCTCTGTTTTACTCACTTCACAACTTCTGCAAGTATCTGATGCACTGGGTCATTTTCTGTCTCCTCCACTACAACCTGTTCCATGCAAGGAGGGGCCTCATCTATCTCACTCTCTGCTGGGTCTCAAGTACCTAGAAGAGCATCTAATAAACTGTTGGTGCTCAATAAATACTTGGCAGATGACTGAATAAACGCACAAGAAAACCCAGATCACCTCCCAGGAAATGCAGACAACACTAAATTATGTACCACTCTGGTTTTCCATGATGCTTGCAGAATATCCATCCTGGGAAAACTGGGACCCAGAGTCATCGAGGGCTAAGGAGGTGACTTCTCTGCTGCCTCTTGGTCCCTGTTGTATCCCTACGATACCTTTCCCAGCATTGAAAGCAATTTAGAGCCTAAAGGTGCATATTAACATCTATTTGTTGAATGAAGGAAATTCCCTTATACAGAAACTGCCAATAGTGGCTGGCTTGTAAAACCTAGCCAAAATCTGGCCCCAACTGACCCATTTATTCAATGAACAAATAATAAGGGTTGACTCTACTGAGTTCCATGCCAGACACTGTCCTGAGAACTCAGGTGCGCTATGACAAAACTTCAGGCAGGGCCCTGATGTTAGGCCCATCTTATGGACGAGAAAGCTGAGGTACAGGGAAGCTGAGGAATCTGGAACAGAATCCAGGCAGTCCAGTTCCAGAGCCTCCACACCTAAGTATACTTGAGCACTTATTGAGCACCTACTATGTACTGCATCTCTGACTAGGCAGTGAGAACAAAAAGACAAACCAGACCCGGGTCTGATTTTCTTGGAGGTCAGTCACGTAGACCCTTTCCAAACTCAGCTCCTTACATACCTTGAAGTAAAACCATTGAATAAGCCCCCTCTCTCCAACATTGAATGCTAGGGTCCTCCTCAGCATCCATTCAGCTTTTGGGGCTTCACTAGACCACAGTGGCTTTCCTGTAATTTCTCCCAAGTCTGTCAGTTACGGTTCGTGTGTGCCCATTTAGAACTTCACCCCACTGTTACTTGATTAGCTCTCTCAGTGAGAAACATCTTTCTTTTTCCCCTGACTAGACCTTGAAGCTGTCAAGGGCAGGAACTGAGTCTCATCTTGATCTCATCTTCACCCTGCCTCCCACCCCCCACCTCAGGTGCCTACGCCAGCACTGCACCCAGAGCAAAGCTGCAATGAATGTTTCTTACACAAACACATTCCCACCTTGTGGTCTGCCATAAAATGCAAAAATATAGCAGTTTCATTTACTTAGTTTCTTTAAGATGTCCAAACACTAGCTTGCTTTGCTCATCCAATGGACATTTATTTGTACCAAATAAAAAGCAAAAATATCAGAAGTGAAGAGGCTCCCGTTTCCTTCCTGTGATCTGTTCCCACAGGATTAATTTAAGAACTAAGGCAGAACCTTGTGTTCAACACCAGAGGCCAAAGACACCACAAGGGAAAGGGCTCCTTTCACCACCTGCCAGAATCTTCTTCCTTTCTCTCCACGCCATCCAGGACACACAGAAAGAGCTGTCCTGGGCCAGCCCAGGGTCCACTGAGCAGGGGAGTCCACTGCAAAGAGAGGCCCCATATGACCTGCTGTGGGTGGGCCTGGCTGGCCCCAGCTTCCCGCTCGAAGGTCAGAGAAATTCCTGTGCCTCCAAACAGCTTGTTACTCATCTCTGCACAAAACACCTTCAATCTGTTGATAGTATCTTTCCTGTCCCACATCTTGGGAAAAAATGAGTGCTACTCTCGAAGTTCATTAACCACTAAGTGAAGGGGTCATTTCTAAACTTTGAAGAAATTTAAACTGCCTTAGCCCATGACTGGAAAATGAAGCTATACTATGTAACACTGGGCGTTTTCCTTTTCGAATGAGGAAATTCTCTACGTATATTGAGAAGTAAAGACAGTCTCGAAATACCATGAAGTTGAAAAACAGAGGTTGCAGATCAGTATGTGTGATGATTCTATTTTCCAATAAAAACACTGTATTTGTGTACACAAAGAAAAAGTTTGGAAGAAGCAGTGTACTGAGGTTCATTTCCTGTTTTTTATGCTACACTATATGGTTGATCATCACCCTATGGTTGAGGGGGATGTTAACATTAGGGGAAGCTGGGGGAGGGTAGACAGAACTCTGAACTTTTTTTTTTTCTTTAGCTTTTTAATGACAAATAATATAGAACAGAAAAGTTAGCATAGGTGTACAACTCACTGCAAATTCATAAAATTAACAGTGTATTTCACATCTAGATCAAGAAATAAAACATTGCCAGGAACACGGACGTTCCTCTCATGTTTCTTTTCCAGGCACAACTCCCTCAAAGGTAGCCACTGTCCCTGATTTCTTTTTTTTTTAATTCAAACAGAAATGAACTATTTTTTACAACTTTTCTGTAAGCTTAAAGTTGTTTCAGAATGAAAAATTTCTTCTTAATCTGAAAGGGCAATGATAACAGCAGCATGTATTTGTGTCCTACCATGGATCTACTCTCTGTGCTCTACAAACACTAATCCACATGTGAGCTCTAGGGCACAGTTCTCTACTTTGGCACTATTGACATTTGGGGCCAGGTCATTCTGTGTTGTGGGGACTGTCCACCACATTCTATGATTCTGAGCAGCATCCCTGGCCTAGATCCACTAAATGCCAGGACCAACACTGCCCCCCTCGCCCCCGCCCCCGCCCACACACCAGTTGTGAAAACTAAAAATGTGTCTAGACATTGGCAAATGTCCTCTGGAGGTCAAACTGCTCCCCCCAACGGGTTGAGAATCACTGTTCGAAAGTAAAGCGTAGGTGCTCTTATCCCCTACAAATAGGAGGAAAGTGAGACACACAGTAGGTCATCTGCCATCACACAGAGAGATGAACCCAGGTTTTTGGCTCGAGAGTGAAGCAGTTGGCCACACAGCAGGACATCAAGCTCTATTCATGGGTCATCTCTGAGAGTGGGCCTGCATAGAGGCTGGACCCCTGCCCTGAAGCCTGGGGGCCTCCCCTAGGCTGTGGGGTCCCACTAGAGGCTGGGGGAAGCTCCACAAAGCTTTCCCTTTTTACTGTAAGCACTTCTCCATGACTTACACTTGTATTAAGTCATTGCATGTATTAAGTCATTGCTGTTATTTTAAGGAGCTTGGTGTGATCATCTTAGCATTTCTGCAATAAGCCCACCTTCCTCCTGTAAGCAGAAGCAGCAATAAAGAGGTGTCAACTTGAATGTCCAAATACCTGAGGTCCGAAGCTTCTTCCTCTTACTCATTGTATCCCTCCCTAGAGAAATCTGAAAGCAAGAGCAAATCTCATCATTACGAGCAGTTCCTGTCTCTCGGTACAGACCCAGTGGCCTTGGCTGAGGCCACCCCACCCCCACCTGGGCCCATCTGGCTGCCCCAGGGGTCACTTGGGCCCCAAGGGGACACAGGGTGGGAGTCATGGCTACCTTGGGCTATGGCCGAGTTAAGAATTTAAACTCCTCCATATTGCAGAGAGCAGAGAGGGAACTGCCTATCTTCTGTCCAGGGTCTGAGAGCACCTGGGCCGCCCCCCTCTAGTCTCTAAGATGGGGCAGCCTGTGTGAAGCCCCCTCCCTCCAAGCTGGGCTACCTAGGACCCTTCTAGGGACAATGCAGGATTTTCGAGGTGACACGTGGGGCCCTTCAGGGTCATCGGAGGACTTTAGAGGGGCCACCGGGTAACACTTCAAGGGGTGGGGCGCCCTTCGGGGGATGCCTGGGGTCTTGGGGAGGCAGGAGTAGCCGCCACAGGTCAATTCCTTCCAGCCTAGGGGGCCAGACAGGCCAAACACAATCTGGGCCAGAGAAGTTGCCGAGGTCCCTCTGTCCTTAACGGGAACTGGGAAGATCTACCTGGATCTGTTGGGGGATAATTCGGTTAAATAATTTGCGTAAGATTTTTCTGAGATAAGAAAAGGTAAAGTTGGCCCTCACGGAGGCCGGGCAGCTGGGGGTCCGAGGCCTGACCACTGTGGACCCGGCTTCTGCTGACCAGGCCCACCCTAACCCTACCCCGGCCACCGAAAAGCGAGGAATGCCCAGACCAGCATCGCCAGGAGAGGCCGGAGCTCGCAGGTGGCCAACCGTCGGCCTCCACCTCACCTCACACCCGCAAACACTCCACCTCTGTCCCTCACACTTCGAGGCCTCGTCGCGCGCACGCGCGATGCCAACACCGCCCCTCGCACTTGCGCACGCTCCGCCTCTTTCCCGCGCAGCCCGCGGCACCGCCCATCGCTCCGCAGCGCGCCTGCACGCTCGCGCACTGCCTGCCGGGAGTTGTAGTTTCAGTGCGGCGGGCCCTGCAAGTCCGGTGGCTGCGCTCGGGTTCCGCGGAGCCCAAGGGCCGAGGCGGAAGTGGGGCGGCCAACCGGGAGGCCGAGGGCGCGAAGTCGGCGGTTGCGGGGCGCCAACGAGGGTCGTGGGATTCAGGAAGGGCTCGTGCGCGGCCATAGGCCCCGGGGGAGGCCAGGCCAGGGGTCCGGTGGTCCGAGTATCCAGCCTGGAAGATGCACAAGAGGAAGGGACCCTCGGGACCCCCGGGCCGAGGAGCCGCCACCGCCCGCCAGGTGAGTCTGTACCCCACGGCCCGGCCCAGGGGACCCTTCCCACCCTTGTCACACATTCAAGGGAGGGCCCCACCCCCAGGGGAGCCCGATCTTCACCCCAGGTGAGCCCCGGTCCCCGCCCCCCTGGTTAGGTTCGACTCCCAAAGTGCGGCCTATTGGCCCCGGCTCCCCAGCTTCTGGCGCCCCTCCCAGGGCTCAGGGCCACCTGTTGCCGCAGCAGCTCCAGTTCGGGAGGGGAAGGCCTCGGACCTGTGGTAAGAAAGACAGTTACGGGTCTCCTGGCCTGAGCACTCGTGGAACCCTCGCATCAGCCTGGCCAGGTCAGACTCTTTTATCCCCATTGTATAGATGAGGACACTGAGACCCAGAGAAGTGAAGACACCTGCCCAAGGTCATAAGGATTAAATGCTTGGCCAGAGCTAAGCACAAATCCAGAGCTGCTGCCATGAGCCCACAGAACTGTGGTTGGGCCCCTTCTCCCTCCCTCATTGCCTTTACCCCAGGCACTGGGAGAATTTGATTTTTCTCAGCTTTGATGGAAGGAGCTCAGGCCATAACCTAGTGCCCAGGTATTACAGTCTGAGTGACGTGAAGTTCCCTCCTGGATTCTACACGTTGGACACTTGGCTTCACCACTCTAAGCCTCAGTTCCCTCATCTGTAAAATGGAGCCCCTAAGAGTCCTTATGTCACGGGATAGTTGTGAGAATTCATTGAGATAGTTTATGGAAAGCGCTAGAACATAGCACTCAATAAGTATTGTCATCATCATTATTACTATTAGATGGAGACATATATGATTGCCAATGTCTGGCCATTTTTGATCCAAAGAAAGGGGGTTAATTTTGTGTACTTCAACCTGATATTATCACATCATGGTTGGTCATTAACCAGGATAGGATAGGAAGACAGGTATGTCACACAGCAAAGCCCCCAATTCCAGCTTCTACGTTGTCTAGGCTTCTATTTGCTCTTGACGCCTCCAACCTTCCTTCATGGCTCGCTCTGCCAAAGATGCTGGAAAGGAAAAACCAAGGTGTGCAGAGTGGCTTTGCTGTGGGGCAGGGTGTGGGGCCTTCCTTCCCCACTGACCTTGGCTAGCAGCACATCATGGGTGTGGGCTTAGAGCGGGCAGTTGGGTCTCTCTAGCTGCCCTTTGCCCCATGTTGATCTGTGCCAGAGGACCTGCCCACCTTGGGACATCTGTTGTATTCTGGGGCCTGTTCTGGCCTCCTGGCACTCCCCAGGGAAATGGCTTTCCCCAGCTCTGGGTTCCCTTCCTTCCAAGGGGACTCCAGGTCCATCATGGCTGCCTCGAGCTAGCTGGGGTGCATCCCAAGGTCTGACTGAACCCCCATTGTTCCCACAGCTGGGCCTGCTAGTTGACCTCTCCCCAGACGGCCTGATGATCCCTGAGGACGGAGTTAATGATCAGGAACTGGAGGCTGAGTTCTTGGCTTTGGTGGGGGGCCAGCCCCAAGCCCTGGAGAAGCTTAAAGGCAAAGGTAAGACTCTCAACACACCCCTGAACATTTTGTGAGCTCCCTCTGTGGGCGGGGCTTGGAGCTGGGCTCTGGGGTGATGGTGAAATGGAGACAGAGAAGGTGCCTGCCCTTCTGGCATCCACAGTCTGGGTAAGAGTTAAGCAATCAACTCTGGAGCCAGAATGAGGGTTCGAATCCCACCTTTGCAACTTACTGGCTGTGTGACTTGATGAATTCCAGCACCTGTGTGGGCCTCCGTTTCCCTGTTTGTAAAATGGGATAATGACCACACTTACATCACAGGAGTTAATCTTCTAGTGTTCATCAGGCACTTCACATAGGATGTGGCGCGCCCTCCAACCCACTGTTCCGTGACCGGGGCTGGGATGTGGAAGGCACAGAGCAACGGGGGAGACCTGTGAGCTGGACAGGGCTTCCTGGAGGAGGCACCTACAGTGGGGAGGGCCAGGTGAAAAGTGGGGGACTGCTTCTGGGGGGTGGGTCACAGCACATGCAGAGGCCCTGGAGGAGATGGCAGGGGCCAGGGGACTCTGCAGTGGTCAGGTGGGGCTGGAGCTCGGGGCAGAAGGAGCCTTTACACTTTGTAGCTAATGCAGTTGATACTCGTTATTCATGGATTCTGAATTTGTGATTTCACCTACTAGCTTAAATTTATTTGTAACCCCCAAATCAGTGCTTGTAGCACTTTTGCAGTCTTTCACAGACGTGCACAGAGCTGCAGAAAACTTGTCTCCCGATGTGCACGTTCCCAGCTGAGGCGACACTCCGCCTTCTTGTCTCAGCGCATAAATAAGTATCCTTTCTTTGGTGTGTTTAATGCCACATTTTTCTCTTTTTTGTGCTTTTTGTTGGTGATTTTGTGAATCCACATGGCCCCCAAGCGTAGTGCTGAAGTGCCGTCTCCTGTTCCTAAGCGTGAGAAGGCCGGGATGTACCTTCTATATAAGCTTCATTCAGGCGTGACTTATAGTGCTGTTGGCCTCGAGTTCAATGTTAATGAATCAACAGTATACATTAAATAAGGTGTCTTTAAATAGAAGCACACATAAGACAAGGTTATGTATTGGCTGGTTGACAAAAATGTGCCCAGAGGCTCACGGGAACCTAATGCTGTATTTCCTCCAGGGACAATGGTTCAGTATTCGCTCATTCCATGTTTGCGACAACTTTATAGCACATGGGTACTGCGGATAACCAGAATAACATGAACAACAAAATGCTGACAGTATGCTGTTCTAAGAGCTTCATTTACCTTTAGTCCCCACAAGCTAGCTATGAGGGAGAGACTATTGTTGTCCCCATCCAACAGATGTGAAGACTAAGGCCCAGAGAGGTGAAGTGACTTGCCCAAGGTCCCACAGTGAGAAAGTTGCAGATCTGGGGTTCCAACTCAGGCGGGATAAGGAAGAGATGAGACCAGAGAGACTGGCGTGGAGGGGGATCATGCCTAGCTGGCCTGAGGGCAATGGGGTGCCATGAAGGGCCAGGAGGGGGACATGCTGCCCCACCGCCTACTACCCTATTTTTCGGGGCCGTGGGTGACCAGGACGGGAGGCTGGGGGCTCTTGAAGGATCCCGGTCCAGCTGGGGCCTCCCCCTGACTCCAGGTCCCCTGCCCATGGAGGCCATTGAGAAGATGGCCAGCTTGTGCATGAGAGACCCAGACAAGGACGAGGAGGGGGGGCCGGACGAGGAGGACGTCGAGGCTGATGATGACCTGCTGGTGAGCACCCGGAATGGGGCAGGGGACCTCCCTTCCGCTGCTGCCCCATCTGGCAGGCCCTTGCGACTGGCCCCTGGCTGTGTGTCCCTGCAGGCGGAACTGAATGAGGTCCTTGGGGAGGAGCAGAAGGCTTTGGAGTCCCACCCTCCTGTGGCCCAGGTATACCTCCGAAGACACTGGTCCCTGAAGCCCAGGGTTCAAGGCCTTCCTCTTCCCCTCTCAGCCATGGGACCTCGCTCAGGTGGCGGGACACCACTGAGCCCCAGTTCTCTGCCCTGGGAAATGGGATGATGATTTCTGCCCCTTTGGGGTTAGGGTCGCAACATGCCTGGTATCCAGTAGGTACTCAACCAAGGAAGATGTCAGGGCGGGCCCGAGTGGGGTCACCGCCCAGACTGTGTGCTCGGCCCCTCCCGCAGCCAAAGGCCACAACGCCCAGCCCAGGGTTGGAGGCCACCTTGCAGGAGAGGCTGGCCCTCTACCAGACAGCGATCGAAAGCGCCAGGCAAGCCGGAGATGGTGCCAAGATGCGGCGCTACGACCGGGGGCTTAAGGTGAGCGGGCAGATGGGAGGGTGCTGGGACCTCACCACCCAGCTCCAGGCCCCTCGCAAACCCACGTTCACATCTTCTCCCAGACGCTTGAAAACCTGCTGGCCTCCGTCCAGAAGGGGAAAGCCATCGATGAAGGGGACATCCCGCCGCCTGTGGCTGTGGGGAAGGGCCCAGTGGCTACGCCCAGCCACATCCCAGCACCCACCCAGCCGGTCCCTACGAACCCACTGGCCCCAGATCCCCGGGTCATCGTGGAGGGTCCTCCTTCAACTGCCCCAGCCTCGTCCCTGGTCTCCGCTAAGCCCCAGCTGCCCTCAGGTAGGCCAAGGACAGGGCTGGGCTGACGTGGGATGGGCCGGTTATTTATTCAGTGGTAGGGCCTTCTGCGGGGTTGCAGGCCCGACACTGATTGTTAGATATTTTTAACACCCTTCCCTCCCCGGAGCCTACCTTCCAGGGGGGACATGAGCTCACAGAGAAGTTTTGTGTGTGTGGTGGCAGTAAAATATATTTAACAACACATTTGCTATTTAACCATGTTTCAGTGTGCAATTGAGAGGCATTTTGGCTTATTCACAGTATTGCTCAGTCATCACCTCTGTTTCCAAAACTTTTTCCTCACCCCAAACGGAAACTCTGTCTCCATTAAATGCTAACTCCCCAT